GATCATTTCATTTAGTTAAAATTTAAATATTTTTCGTGATTTTTTCCAATCTATAAAACTAAAAAAAAATCAACAAGCTTCAAACTAAATCGAAAATCAGTGTATAAATCGTATATATTATATGATTAATAATCTTAAATATTATTTACCAATTTTGAGCTTGAATTTGGCTATCTAAAGAAATAAATCATTTGTTATATAATATCGTTGTATATAAATAAATTAGAGAGAATTTTGTCCAAAAAACAAAAATGAAAAATAAGAGAGAATAATTTTCTTGTTATATTTTCACGTAGCAAAAATTCAGTTTGTTTCCGTGAATAAATAGTTTTCTTAAGCACGTGAGAGTATGTTGTTGGTGTTTTGTCATTATCCCATTAATCTGACAAAATATCACACACTTTATGATACGATTATTCACCTAATTATCAACATAATGACTTATTAATATACGATTTGTATTGGAATTTTAATTTTGATCATATAATTCCGGAGATAACGAAACAGAAAAAAAAAAATCAAATATTCGGGCCAACACTTGAAAAGGTAATAAGATTTTTTTCTAGATACTAATAATTTTATTTCTTTTATCAGATAATTTTTTGGATATTTTCTTGATCTTGAATCTTTTTTTCTAATCCAGAAAAATTATATAAATTTTATTTTTTGTAATGATATTACGCTAATATCAGTGGCTTCACTAGTTACCCAGTCACCGTCTTCCTCCTCTATATAAACCCTTTCTTCTTCTTCCTCCTCCTTCATTTTATAATATTCTCTTTCTTTTTTCAATTTCTCCGATTTGATCTAATACCGTTTCACAGATCTCGTTTTTTCCGATGGCATCCAACGGTGAAAAAGGACTGATCGTAAGCTTCGGTGAGATGCTAATCGATTTCGTCCCAACCGAATCAGGCGTATCACTCGCCGAAGCTCCTGGATTCCTCAAAGCTCCCGGTGGTGCTCCGGCGAACGTAGCAATCGCAGTTTCTCGTCTCGGTGGACGTTCAGCTTTCGTCGGAAAACTTGGAGACGACGAGTTTGGTCATATGCTCGCTGGGATTTTAAGGAAAAACGGTGTCGATGATCAGGGGATTAACTTTGATACTGGTGCTAGAACCGCTCTAGCTTTCGTTACGTTACGTGCTGATGGAGATCGAGAGTTTATGTTTTACCGGAATCCTAGCGCCGATATGCTTCTCCGTCCTGACGAACTTAACCTCGACCTCATCAGATCCGTACGTTAAATCCCCCCCCTTTCTCTCTCTGATTACATATTGATGATCCGTTTGCTCTAGATCTTCACGAGATCTAGCTGAAATTGTAGATTTGTAGGACTTTAGTTTTTGAATTTCTGGGAAAACGTAGAAACAGATCAATTTGATTTCGAATTTTTCATCATGGGTTTGATTGGGAAACGTGATTAGAAGAAAACGTAGAAGATGATCTCACTTGGGAATATGTGTCGAAACGCTAAATTCACGGGCGGTGACTTTTCTTCTCTGAATCTCACTGCGTTTTTTATTTTCGCGGATCGTAATCTTTCGCGTTCGTAATTTGGCGTGTAGATCCACGTGATGTCACGTGATTTGCTCTCAAGAACACGACTTCTTGTTTTTATCTGAAAAAGTATTTTTTTTTTTTCNTNNTAAAGATAAAAGAACCTAGTAGTAGTTAACCATCAAGATCTTTGGTTTTAATTGATTCCTCTAATGACAATATTTCCCCTAGTAATATAGATGTGTGTAGTGTTATATTTCGTATTAATGTTTTAGTAGTTGTACACTAATGGTGTGAATTGATGTGAGGTTGAATTTTGCTTAAAATTGCTAAAAGTTTTACCTTTACAGCTAATTTTACTGGCGAAGGAACTTTTGCTTTTCTTGAACAGTTTTTGATAATGATTGACCCTTTATCGTAGTTGAGACATAAAGAATCATAGCAAAATGGGGTCCCTTTATTTATTCCTTATAGGTTGTGTGTTAACAACAAACTTGGCTTTTGCTTGATTTTGTTAGATTTAGTGTATTTTTTTGGTGTTCCATGTGATGTTTTTTTTTCCCCTTTGCAGGCAAAAGTGTTTCACTATGGATCAATAAGCTTAATCGTGGAGCCATGTAGGTCAGCTCATTTGAAGGCTATGGAAGTGGCTAAAGAAGCAGGAGCTCTTCTTTCCTATGACCCAAATCTCAGGGAACCTTTGTGGCCATCAAAGGAAGAAGCTAAGACACAGATCATGAGCATTTGGGACAAAGCAGAGATCATCAAGGTGAGTGATGTTGAGTTGGAGTTTCTAACTGGAAGCAACAAGATTGATGATGAGACCGCATTGTCCTTGTGGCATCCCAATTTGAAGCTCTTGCTTGTCACTCTTGGTGAAAAAGGTTGTCTGTATTACGCCAAGGTAAACACATCTTTTATGTGCATTTAC